GCTGCAGTAAAGGGCTGGCAGAGCATCACCAGGGAAGAAACCCAGCATCTGATGATGCCTATGTGTCCAACACTTCAGGCAGTCATTGACTGTAAAGGATTTGCAACCAAGTATTAAAACTGACTGTTTAATTGATGATTATGTTAGTTTGTCCAAATACTTATGAGCCCTTAAAGTTGGGGGACTGTGTGAAGAAATGCTTGTCATTCCTACACGGTTCATACTACATTTTTGAAAAAAGGCTTAAATGAAAGCTGAGAGTCTGCACTTTAAGCAGGTATTCATTGTTTCATTTAAAACCCATTGTGGTGGTGTACAGAGCCAAAATGATGACAACTGTATCATTGTCCAAATAATTATGGACCTGACTGTAGCAGCAGAAATCCAGACTCATCAGACCAGGCAACATGTTTCCAATCTTTTATTGTCCAGTTTTGGTGAGCCTGTGTGAACTGTAGCCTCAGTTTCCTGTTGTTAGCTGACAGGAGTGGCACCTGGTGTGGTCTTCTGCTGCTGTAGCCCATCTGCTTCAAGGTTGGACGTGTTGTTGGTTCAGAGATGGTCTTCTGCATACCTTGGTTGTAACCAGTGGTTATTTGAGTCACTGTCTAAAACCATCCAACATCAACATTTTAAATTCATTCAATGAGATGAGACTTTAACATTTTAATGTCTTTTAAAGGTCTCTTTATGTATAAGGTGCACAGTCAGTACTCCGTTCCTTTACATGCCTAAAAGTCCGACACAACAAGCAAAAGCAATAATAATAATAGTCATCAGTGCACTTAGAAACATCAGCCAAGAGCATGACAGCTCACTTAATGACAGACTGTCAGTGCGACTCATTCTCTGCACTGTATTGCAGTAATAATAGGAAGGCAGCAAATAGTTCCACCTGTGTTTTTCCTGCTATGACCGGTCAATATCAACACAGTGTCAGGGGTCAGAGGGAAAATAATTAGGTTGCTTTGTCTTGAATGTGCAAATTATTTGAAATAATGATTTCTAGCTCTGCAGAACAATAGTCATTATTTCATCATGTGTCTCTCCCTGGCCTCCATACTGTTCAACTGTACATTTGTAATATTGATATTATAATTACACAAAATATGTTTCAGTTGTTATTACCTGACACACTCAGGCCTCCATAGTCAATATGTGAAACGTTTGATACTCAGTTTCTGTTCCCCTACGTTCACCTTTGGGGGTACCCCACCTATAAAGGGTGTCTCCTGCCTTACCTCTCCCCTTTTGCTGTTGTACTCCATGGGAGAGGAGCTCAAGTTATTGTATATGGTCATAATTGACCGAAGATTTTGTTTTTACCTCTTGCTATCAGGAATAAAGGGAGTTTGCCTCCAAAGATATCTACAGTCTGGGCCTCCTCATATCAACACAACACAGACAACACTAGAGTCCAGCGCTTACATATACACATATACATACAAATATGCTACACATATACACACACATGTGTTAAAGCTAAATGCATGTTTTTTAAAGGATCCATCTCTAAACCTCACCCCTCCCCCTCTTGCTTACTGATGTCAACATAAAGTCAATGTATTGTTTTATATTAAAGGTCCAGTGTGCAGGATTTAGGGGGATACACTGGCAGAAAACACTGTTGTTGTTTTTTTAACATTAAACTGCTTCATTCAGTCTGTTTGTTCTGGGGAGACAGAAAAGCCTGTGAAAACCTTACAGTGGTTACTTTTATATATCTCTCACTTTATTCAAACTCCGTGCAGACTAATTTGGTTTGATGTTTGAGCGCTGCTTAGGCAGAGACACACTGTATTTTACTGTTAGCGTTGCCCAGTTCCCTTGTCAGAAAACGTTTGATTTTTTTTAATTGGATTTTGGATTATTGCAGAAAACAAACTCCAAGGCAAACAGTTGGTTATGATACTTACATATATATTCTCCATCTTACTTCTGCCGGCCATGCTCTGCTCACTTATATTGGGATAAAATAAAATGCCAATGCCTTCTAGAGTTTCAAAATGTTGTCAGACCAAACGGATCTGATCCTGATAGTAGACTGAATCATTATAGCCCAGTTTCCACCAAACACTTTCAGTATGGTACCTTTGGAACCAAAAGTAACCCTTCAGACATGGTACCTAGACCCTAGTGTTTCCACTGCAAACAGTACTCTTACAGTAAATGTGGGCGGGGTTGTTATCACTCACTGCTCCGCCCAGCACGCTAATTGTTTTATTCCCTACTATGGTGAAGGCATGGCTCACCCTACTCTCCCTCTAATTGGCCAGTAGTCATTGCCGTTTTTCGCTGGATTGGTTAGGTTTAGGTATGAGTAATGAGATTGGTTAGGGTTAGGTTAAGAATGTCAGGGTAAGTCAATCTGAGGCACAGTAAGGCAGAGTAGGGCAGGTCTTGCCTTCGCCATAGTAGGAAAAAAAATATGGCGCCCAGCACTCACTGTATTTCCTTATTATCGGTGACCAGTGTTGGGCAGTAACGCGTTACAGTAACGCCTTTAGTTTTGGCAGTAACTAATACTCTAACGAGTTTTTAAATGCAGTAACTCAGTTACTGTTACCAAACGGTGCATTACTCCCAAAACATTTTAGCCCTAAACAATAAAAGATAGTCAAGTCAGATAGAGGTATATGAACAATTCTTACCAGTGCATCTTAATGAAACACGTCTCTCACTATCGTTACACACACACACACACACACACAAAAATTTTTCACTGATTTACAGACATCTCTTTTCTAATGTAAGTCAATGGGAGGAGGGTCAAAGACAAGAAGTCACACCTCAGCCACCTGCCCCTCTGATAAGTACAGACCAGTCCCTAATTAAGTATTTTACATTAACTTAAGGATTCACTGTGACTTCATCACTCATTAGACCCCCTGTCCGTGATGTTTGTCTCCTCTGGGCCTCCGTACCCACTGAAGCAGCCGTACCTTTCCCCCTCCACAGAGTTGAATCGCATCACACGCGCGGCGCTTTCCACCGCGCAGCTGGGAGCGTGTTCCAGGTTGCCATGGCGACACAGCCGCCTGCATAAAAGTCATCCTCCGTGCACACATCTCGTTATGAGAGTCCGGATTTTACCCGCAACAGCAACATCAGCTGCGTCCAATGCCTCTGAACTCCTCTGATGACAACCGGACCATCTCTGCCTTCACCTCCAAACTGACCCCCGCTGCTGACATATGTGTGGGACTGGCCATCCTCTCCGTCGGTACGTGCGTCCATCCATTCATCCATCCATCCATCCATCCATCCATCCGCTCTCTGTGCATCTATATCTCACTTTATATTAAACACTGAGCCTGTAAAGTTAGTGGACACATGTAGCCTGAGAGAAAAATATAACCTATTAGTTAGAAAATGTGTTTTTTCTGCTAAAACTGAACACAAATACACTTTTACTTTTTTTAAAGCGAAAAATCCGATTTATTCTTTTAATAAAAAATATAGAAATGATGGTAGTTTGCTGAAATACAGGAA